ACTGTGGAGACCTTTCTTTTTCTCAAAGTTCTGGTATTGGGGATAAGATTGGCTTTGCTTAAGTTTTAATCAGGAAGTGAATAGAATGGGGAGGGGAGTGATCCTTTGATGAGTTTAATGTGCTGCAGTTGAGAGGCCTTTCCATTTCTCTTCCAAATTAAGGAAGAAAGTTGGGGGCTGGGAAGAGAGCATACTTTTAACTCTGCTAATGGGGGAGGGAGAGAATAGAAGGGTCTTTCACTTGGAGAGGGGAGGGGAGCCTTCTCCAGAAACTTTCTCATTCCCTACAACAACACCCCCCACAGCTTTTCCAAATTTCACAGTATAGAACAAACCACTGCATGTTAAAAGGAAAGGAGACCAGATTTTCTCCAAACAGCCTGTATCTTCTTCTTTTTAACTATTGTTATTGCAGCTTCCTACAATATAAATGTGCAATATGAACAAAAACACTGTATCCCCAACTAAAAGCATAAAAGTTAGATATTTATACTCAGCTTTATTTTCAAGTTACTTTCTCTTACTGTCATCATTTCTTTTTAATCATTTATTTTGGCCCCCTGTAATCATTGTCAAGTAAGATTTTAAATTTATATTTTCAAATGTGTGTAATTTTATTAAGAATTACTGATTAGATGGGCTCTTTAAAACAAAGCCACTTCTATAAATAAAGGAATGTCAGAAATGCCATGTGATGGAGATTTTCAGGATTTTTTAAAAAACAACGAGCTATTTGGGAATCAAAAGTCCATTCTTTTGAAAACTTTTAAGCTTCAAACTTACAGCCACTTGTACATAATTAAATCCCATAATTCCTCCTGAATAGTTATATATTTGATTGCACTTTTTCTATTTAAAAACATTTTTATCTATTTCAGCCAGTCTTACTTTGGGGCAAATGAGTTTAAACATCAATTGCTATTATCACCTGACTTGGAATTAAAGGCCACTGAACCCAAAAAGGTTATTTCCAAGTATATGTACTTAAGATGGCGAGATCATTTTCCTTTTCTTTTCAGAATATATTCTATTTTAACTTTCCCATCCACACTGTTCCCTCTACCAAAGACAAATCGTTGCACACAAACTAATTTAAAATCTTCCATCTAGACATTTTCAAAACCATATCCCCGGAATTTCAGGCTGGGAGGCATGGGGATAGCATGGCCCCCCAGCTGCCAGGTCCAAAGTGGGTGCGTTTTGGAAAGGATGCAGGAGTCTTTGACGCATAGGGACGACGCAGGACAGAGATCCCCATCGGAACCCACGACTAATGCGGGAGTACATGGAAAAGTGCCCATCAAAGTAAATGGATTCCTTACAGGCCCCGGAGTGGTACTGAGCAAGCGTTTGCAAGGCGGAGCGCCCCCCTTTGGGGTCTTCTTCCTCGGGATCTTGGGGGGCCTCCCCTTGGCCTGTTCGACTCGACTTCTCCTGGCACTTCTTTCCGAATCGCTGCTTCCTTTCAGCGGTCTGTTGGCCAGGCTGAGAAGGCCAGCTTTGGAAGTGGGGGGACACCCTTTGGCCTGCTCGGCTCTGCGCAAGACTTTCCCATCCACGTTGAACCCTTTGGCGTAGCACCACAGTTTCGATTGCCTGATAAGCCGGTCGAAATGGGCCCCTCTGCCTGACCCTTCCTCGGAGGTCTGCTGAAGCGCGGCTTCTTCGGTTTTATCACGTTCGCCGGTTCGGACACGATCAGGAATGCTCAGAAAATCGGCCTCTTCGCCTTCCTGGACACCCAACTCCAACGACTCCCTGACGCCTCCGTTCTTTGGCTGCGGTCTTTCGCTAGGGCCTACCGAACGAGCATGCCGAGTCTCCGGTCTGTCCTGCTGAAGCGTAGTGGTGGGAACCGGCTTGAAACTTTCCAAAGTGGAGGCGCGCAACGTCCTGGCCCAAAAGATCAAGTTCGGGTCGGGGCGTAGTGCTTTGGCCACGCTGGGGAGGACTTGGGAAGATGCATTTTGGGGAGGGATGCGGGGAAGGGCGGCCTGTCTGTACCGCGTGCTTTGCACGGAGTCGCCACTGCATAGAGAACTACTTTCTGATCCGGAGGAGCTGCCGTCTTCGCTACTGCAGGAAGATTCGTCCTCCTCTTCGTCGTCGTCTTCCTCCTCCTCCTCCTCATCTTCCGAAGAATCGCTAGAACTTGCCGGGCTTGACGCACCGCTGGAATCTGAATCACTAGAAAAGCCAGCCGATGTACCTTGCCTCTTGGAGCCGGCGATAGAGGCCGAGCGACCTTTCTTGGCCAGGCATCCACAAGTGGAGCGCTTAGGGCGCCCGATCTCCGGCTCGCAAACCGGTTGACCGGTTCCGTGCGCCCTGACTGCCGAGTGTAAGAATTGCAAGTCCCCTGGGTAAGCGTTGAGGACGCCGGCCAGGAGGTGCGCTCTACCGTTCCGGCTGTAGCTTTTGGAAGGCGGCGCGGCTTTCTCGTAACTCCTAGCAAATGGAGCTGCGAAGAGTGCTTCGCGCTTGGCGCAGCCTGCATCCAAACTGGCACGAAAGGCGTGGTGATCGGGTTCGTCATACGCCGGGAGTAACCGGGGCCGATCGAACAGGACCTCGGCTTCCCTCCTTTTGACTTTCCTCTTCCTCTTCCTCTTCCTGGGGGTTAAGGCCTTGCAGGAGGTGCAGAGGGCCTCCAGGTCGGTCTTGGAAATGAGCGAACACTTGACGGCGCGTATTGGCACCGACTGGATGGCTTTGAGAGTGCGCAGCTCCTTCAGGTCGCACCGGCGACTCTGGATGTTGAGGCTTTCCATTTTTTTGCTCACGGCGGCCCGAGGAATGTCCTTAAAAAGGTCGCTGAAGACCTGGGTCAGAGCAAACATCTTCGTGCCGTTAATTTGCAGGTAACCCAGGTTGATGCCGTCGATTTCCTGATAACCAGCTTGGAAATCTCCATTGTAATCCATTGAAGTGGCAGCGGAAGCCGCAGCTGGAGCCATCCCGCAGGTCAGAAACATGTTTAAAATAAAAATAAAAGGTAGGCAGGGAGGACGCCAGTGGGGAGCTAGTAGAAACGGCTCTTCTTCCAACCTCTTCCCATTTCCCATCTATCCCCCTTCCCCAAATCAAGCACTCGTCGCTGAGTGAGAAATTTTCCTTTCAAATGCATCTCTTGAGAATGCAGAGCTGCCTCCTCTTTTCTCAGCGCTTTATTCTCCACTCTCTAAACATCCCCAGAGAAGTCCAAAGGAAAAAAATGTCCTCTTCCCTCAGTTATTTTTCCTCCTCCTCCTCCTATCTTTTCTTCTTGGAATCAGATTATCTCACCCATCTCTTAATCAGCCCAATCTTTAAAAACAGGCAGGCAAGCCTTTGAGCAAAGGATCATTGCTGAGCTGCAAAAAGCAGGGTTTTCAATGCCCCCCAGACACCAAACAAAATCCATGGCATGGCTACCTTTTTTTCCTGCTTCTTTCTTTAAGAGACTTGAATACAGTATATTATAGGAAACACCCCACTAAATAATTTTCTCCAGAGTGCATGCTGATTGGGTACTTTAACCTGGTGATGTCACAAAACCCCCAACATTTAACACACCCCTGTGTTAAACCTATATATATATATGTGTGTGTGTATGTATGTACACACACACACACACACACACACACATATACATATAAACCCATTTCATTTAAAAGTCAATCCGATACCCTCCAAGCTGGAAAGGAGTTTCATATACTTCATACATGTTCAGAGAAAATGAATGGGAATATTTTTATATATGTATCCAAACAGGTGTGATTCCATATGTACGTTGGCTTGTTTTCCTGAAACTTAATCGTTCTAATCTTATTTTTGAACTCAAATCTGGAAGACAACTGCAGTTATTACCAATTTTTATAGAATATGTTTATTGATCTTTTCATTTTTTTCAATGAACTGAATCGTTTTCTCTCTGCATAGTCTATAGGTATGTGTGTATAAAACTAAAGGCCTAATTTTAAAAATAATATCTCTTTTTGGAAATGATTTTTGTATTACGGGTGTTGGTATTTTTATTAATTTTAGAATTTGCTCCAATATTTTTATTAATGTTAGAATTTGTCCCAAAATTTTTCTGCTCAAGAATGCCATGCGTTCATGTTTGTCTACAAAAAAAGCTTGTGATACAAGCAACAATTAGCCAAATTTTAAAAATCGATCTTCAACCATTACAGCCTTTATTTAATATTTAAAGATTGGGAGAATGCTCTTAAGGATCAGGGGAATTCTCTTGTAAGATGTATAGATATCCAACTCTCAGAATAATTTTGTTTTAGATTATTATTATTATTATTATTATTATTATTATTATTATTATTATTAT